TTTTAATTATAAAATCGAATTTAAAAATCGGAAATTTATTTATCTAATCTGAAAATCGGGACGGACTTCTCCGAGTCGTTCGATACCAAACGACTCCCTACCGTGCGACTTTTTCAATCTACTCCTGGAGAAAATAATTCGAGCTGCAGATCTGAATAGARAAGGTACAATCCTCCACAAGAGTGTATAACTGATGCTGTACTCCTATGATATCGAGAATGAGATAGCCTCGGCTATCGAAGCCCACGCACTTCTTGCCAGTTTCTATTGGCTCTTTCCTAGTATTGTATGTATTCTCGTAAAGAGTGATGGAACCGAAGAAACGTTCCGGTTCTATCGCGCTAATTGCTGCAGCTTCTTTCGTCAGTAGATTGGCTAACTTATTTAAATTTGATYTCAACCGATCAGATTTCCCAGACCTCAGCTTGAAAATTTCTTATAAACCTGCCCATGGGGTTTTTCAGAGTTCGGCACGTGATCCCATTATACACAACCCCAATTCCATATGCCGTTTTCGATCCCTCTCAGTATTATTGCATTGTACTTATCCGAAGTCACTCCTCAAGGATGGGATTCTCCCAATCACTTTTGTTGCCCAGTGCGACTTTGAATCCATTTGTTTTTGGAAAATTTCTTGGCAATGACGTGCCTGGAAAAGAGTGATAACAATAGATTTTCTCCAACGACACTGTTTCTGAACACTTATTACTCTGTTTGGTTCGATTGTTTCCAAAATCATTTACATTTTTCGGAAAAGCTTTGCGTTAACATCTGTAAAACCATGCTCTCCGACTATCAGGATGCCATCGGACGTATTGTTACTGAATATGAGACTTGGATCTATGCTTACGCCCCGGAAAGAAACGATCAATCGAGGGATTACTTTGATGAGGACGACATAGATTTTAAAGAATAAATTAAGAAGTTTAAAATTATGAAAATTATGAAGTCTTATTAATTTTTGCTCATAGTAGTATTTGTATTATCTACTTAATTATAACAATGATTTTTATGATATTAACTTAATTATTATAATATGTAATTAGAGGGCAAAAATAAACATAAAAGCCATTTGAAGAGAATATAAT